GTTTAAAATTTCTTTTAAAAAAAAAAATTGTAAAATTGTTGTGAAATTAAATAATTTTCTTTTAATTTTAATCTTATCGATTTAAGTTTAATGGTATATTCATTAATTATTATTATTATTATTTTACTCCCCCGCGATATAAAACTATAAGTTTTTTTTTTTTTTTTAATAAAAACATTTTAATCGATGGATTTTTTTTTTTTTTAATTATTGAATTAATTTTTTATTTTTCTTACTTAATTTCAAAATGGCGCACGGGTAATATTTAAATAAATTTAAAAAAAAAGGTTTATAACGTACCTGCTATTTGTTCAGGAGGAAGTTCCAAATCCTAAAACAAAAAAAAAAAAAACAAAAAAATTATTAATTATTGCAGTATTGATTTATCGATTTTTTAATTTTATTATTATTATTATTATTATTATTATTTTAAAACGTTTTTAAATTCAATTTAATGTGTTCCCCCCCTCTCTCTTTCTCTCTTTAAAGTAAATACAAATTCGAATGATAAAAACATACAAAAAATTTCGAATTTAAAAATCGATCGATTACTCGATTAATTCAAAATTAAATAATAATAATAAAAAGGGAGGGAAACGATGTATTTATTCTAAAAAATTCTAGAGTTCCCGAAGGAACTCTCCGCCCCCTCCCTCCCCTCCAAAAAAAAAGAAAGCAAAATAAATGTTCTATATTTAAAATCGTAAATAAAATAAAATGTAAATAAAAAATTTTGAAATTTTTTTTTTTTTTGAAATACAAAAAAGAAAACCCGAATAAATATAATAAAAAATCAATAATGATGATGATAATAATAATAATGATAGTAATAATGATAATATTTATAATAAAAAAAAATTTGGGTCTTGCCAATGAATTTTTTTTTTTTTTTTTTTTTTTTCAAATAATTTTCTTATTTTTCTTTTTTTCTGTTTTTTCTGTTTTTATTAGTTTTTAACCAATCAATGACGAGGATATTCAAATCGTAAACTAAAAAAATTATTCAAACAGTTAATAACAAACAAACAAACAAACAAGCAAACAAACAAAACCTCGAAATTTAAAAAAAAAAAAAAAAAAAAAAACCATCAAATTATTTTTCATTTAAAAGAAAATTTTAGGAAAAAAAAAAATTATTCATAACGTAAAATTTAATTTTTTTTTTCGTATCGTTAGTTTTTAATCATTATCATCATCATCATCATCATCATCATCATTATTAATAAATAAATATTAATATGTGATACTTAATCCGACGGTTTCGAAAAAAAAAAAAAATTCGATAGTCCCTTTACAAAAAAAAAAAATCAATAATCGATAAACGTTTTGTTTTTATTATCGATTTGGCACGACAACTATCATCATCATCATCATCATTATTATTATTATTATTATTATCATTATTATTATAAATTTTTATCTTAGACGCCCTATTAATAAATAATTCGTTGTAAAAAAAAAAAGAAAAGAACATTAATATT